TCTTTCCAACCACTGAATGATCCATCTGACACGTAATGGAGTTCGGTAAATACGTGTTAAATGGATGGACAGATTCACATCTCACTCCACGAACGCCACCCTTTTATGCACTTTTTCTAGCCATGTTCTTTCCTTTAATCTGCAAATCCTTCCGGGGTCTGTCAACAGAGGGCACAGCTCAGGAGCACACCGTGGGAAGGGCCCCAGAGCCCTCGCTTCCGGGGATTCTTTTAAAAGATGGGAAAATTGTGACATTTGCATGTGGACAAATACATTTTTTCCATTTTACCCAAAATGCTTGAAAATTAAAGGTTTTCTTGAAGATTAACAGAATAGTCTTTAGAATGGGGAAACAAAACGAGAGGGCCAAGTTTGCATTTGATGATGAAAGTAAAGTTTTTTTAAACTTTAGGGAAAAGTCAAATCGAGTTCAGTGGGCCCATGTAGAGTTCATCAGTGATGAACCATGATGCAATTTTTTTTTCTGACTCCATTTATCACTGTGAAGCTGGGAATAGTCTCCAGAATTTAAAAAAAAAAAAAAAGTGATTGGAAAAAAAAGTGATTTCCCGGTTTTGAATGGTAGGAAAATTTCGCCAAATCACGTTCTTTTTCTTTATTTCTGTTTTCCTCACAACCTGAGCATATACTTTGTCATAACATCAGATGTGCAAGCCGAAGAACAGGAAACACTTGCAAAATGTTTTATGTTAAATGATAAGACTGACTCTTTTCATTATTCAGATTAAAGAAGGCAAAATGCTGATGTTATTTCCATAAATTTACTGTGTCTTTGTGGCATATCGCGCTGAAATCTTTGTATTTTTGTCCCCAACGTTTTATTAATTGCAGAAATTCACATGTTTTAACATGGAATTGATGGTAACTGGAAAAACTGATATTAATTCTATTATGTGTTGGCTGGCTTTAGTTCCCTAAACAAAGGCTACTTAAAATCTCTGTTATTGATTAAGTCCAGATGGAATTCACTTCTACTGATACACAGAACACAGGCAGATCCGCCAGACCATATTATTCCTCATCGAAACGAGCTCCTTTAGCTCTCTAATTATATTGTCTAATAAAACTAAACAGTCAATGCTATTTGCATATTATATGAAGAAGTGTCATACAACAAACTCATAGCAGTCAATTAACATAAAAGCTAATTATATAGCTCATCATCTTACAAGTTTCTGAATTCATGCTTCCCCTGTTGTAGCCTAGAGCAAAGGAAGCTTGAATTTTCCCTTCTAAATATTGACTTTTAACTAATATCAGAAGTGATTTCAATATTTTTATGGATGAAAAGTTAGTGATGAAGCCAGACGCAATATTTGCTATAATGCAATTAAAATTTCTACGTGAACTAAACCTCTAGAAAGAGAATCTTTGTAACGATACGAACTCAATTATCAGTCACTAAGCAGTTAAGTACTGGTTTCATATCTGAGGAAAAAGATAAGTGAGATTTATTTGAGATTGCCAGGCTGTTATGCAAAAGACACAGCTACCACAGGAACGTTTCCACGCCCAATTGTACCCCGTAACGTAACTGTATTCCTGCCTAATTGTGATAGCTATCAAGCAAGAAATTCACTACAAGACAAGCGGAGGCACAGTAATGAACGCACAGGGGAGGCACTGTGCAACTCACCGTCAGGAAGGTGTGTACACAGACCCCTCTCTCCAGTTTCCTACAGAACCCAAAGCCAAAACCTCCAGCTACTTTCCCCCCCTGCTCTCAAGCACGGGTACCTCCTTCCACCCCAGTTTCATTGCCCTCAGAGCAAGCCCAGGGTCAGAAGAAGCCTGAGAGAAAACAGAAACAGACACGACATCCACTAAGTGGGATTCGGAGTTGTAGGCAGGTTTCAGAAGAGCAAAAGTTAGGATCTACTTCACACACAATGAAGTCATAACGGATCGCTTCTGTATGCATAACTCACAGCAACGAGCCCCTGTTGGAAAAGTCAGAGTGATAAGAAAACTGCCAGAGAATCGGGTTTTCTCCGCGTACAATGATGGCGGCCGTCGCCATTCATATTGTAATGAGGCTAGTATCTCCGAGACCGTCCTTGCGGGGTGGAGACAGCCCTCCCCTAAGATTACAATAGCAGTTGCGTTATTGACAAGGACTATTCAAAACCTTCATCGTACAGAAAGAAAGACTTCGTTTTATTCCACTTGTCTCAATACTTACTGCCCTCTTATAATCAAAACACTTCGAGGCGAGAAAAAGGCCCAATTATTCTATGAACAGTCGTTAAATTTCCCGAAGGCAGTTCAGCGAAGTGGACTCATTTCAAACTCCAATCCTGGTGTTTTAGCAAACGCGGAAAGCATCTTTTTCTTTAGCATTTTCTCATAAAATTGGGTGCTTTGATTGAGATTTTAAAATCTGTTTTTTTAAGTCTTCTGAAATAGCCTCCAGTAATCTCCTGTTGGTGTTTTTCCTTTCTTGTTTTTAGTGGAGATTGTAATGAAGCATTTCTGAGCTATGTGCTGGCCAGTATTTTCTACTCTTCAAGAATGCTTACTCCGAAGGGCCAGCGAACAACATGTTGAAAAGCCCGTTCGCCTTCAGACTCACAAAACAACAACAATTCACGTGTTGATCTCTTGCTGCGAACATATCTGTGTTAAAATAGGCACCACACTCGTATATTTGAACGTGGAAATTTACACTCCCAAAACTGAAAAAAAAATCCGTTTTGTGGCAAGTTTTCACGTGGGGACTGTTTTTAAAAAGTCTTAACCCCGGAAACGAACAGAAACCCTCTCAAAATAAGTTGTGGAGGTTTTATGCCCATTAACCTCTGCCCTGCTCACATCCGAGATGCTGGACGATTTCTGCACACGGCCCAGGACCTTAGGGCAATTTAAAACAACAACAACACATTTTCGAGAGTGGTCTCAGGTCAATGTGAAAATACTGGGATGTATGAGGACGGCAATGAGGCTTCCCCAAGCTCTTCCGGGCTCAGACCCCTGCCCTCCTAAGATTACCACTCCCACCCTATTTCTTTTCCGACTGGGGACGACAGGGGACAGAGTGGGTGGAGAGAGGATCCAGAGTGGACTTCTCCGTTACAGCTAGATTTTTTTAGGTGAAAGGGTGCACTCATCCCCAGAAAGTAAAATGCTGCTTTGCTGACAAGGAGAAAGTGGCATGAAGTATTTCAAACATAGCAGCACAGCAGAAGACCGGGGCCTGGCAGGAAAAAGCCCTCATCATTCTGCTAATGATCTGCTTGATTAACTGTAATTAAGAATTTATCTCAGTGTTTTATAACTTGCAGACCCAATACAAATTTAATCCGTAGCTCCTGTAAGTTCATAAAACGGGTTTTCGGTTTGCCTGTTTACCCACCTATTACTTTTTTTTTTTTTTAAACAATTTACAGTGCTCGATGGGCAGCATTAAAAGTGGAAGTAAAAGGCAATTTGTATTCGGAACGCGCTTGAGGCCGCTTTCTTTAGGGTCCTTTGACTGAGACATTAAACACACACACGCTCCGGAGTTTTTAAAAACTGATGTTTTAGTGAACAAGCAAGGACACGCGTGTTGGTATATTCGAGTTTAATAAACGATTTAACTGAGAAAAACGAGCGCGTGGGCCTAGAAAGACTGGACGTCCAACCCAGTTTGGGGGGACTGGCGGGGACAGCGTTACCGCGCACACGGTGGGGGCAGCGGGAAGTGAACCAGGGGGGTGTTTTTTTTGGCTTTTCCCCGTCCACGGTTCTGTTTTTCACGGAGTCCACTCCTCCCCCGAGCGGGGGCTGACGGCGGGGGCCCCGGAGCGGCCTCCCCCGGGAGCGGCGGTCCGAAGGCGCGGGCGGGCAGGGCCACCGCGCCGGGCTGCGCTCGCCCGGGAACCCGCGGCCAGATGGCGGGAGGCGCGGGGACCCTTTGTGCGCCCCGAGCGCGCGCCTCAAAGCCGCGCGGTCGCCGGCACCGGAAGGGTTCACACTGCGTCTGAAAGGGGACAATGGAGTCTGGATGGATCAACATCGCCGAAACCGAGTTCATTTGCGATTCAGCCCCTTTCAGCACGGTTGTCATGCAAACTTCCTACTTTGATCAGCAGAGGGTGGCGAGGGAGAAAGCCCGCAGAGGCCGGGCCGCGGCGCGTCCGCGGCGCCCTTGGCGGGTCCCCGCCCCCTTCCGGAAGGAGCCGCGGGGACGCCGCATCCTGCACCTTGACCTGTCTAGACGGGCCCCGAGTTTTTGTCTCGGTTTCCAAGGGCGCGGGGCTCTCTTTGACCCCCGCGCGGGGCGGAGGTGGTGGCCACGGGGTCCTCTGAATCCTCGCCGGATTCCGGAGGGAGCGGGGCGCGCGGAGACGGGCACCAGCTGTCCCCAGAGCCCGCGGCCGCGCCGGGGGCCGCCCTGCCCGCCCCTCTCCCCCCGCGCCCGCGGGCGTCAGCGCGGCGGCCGGGCACCCGCGCCCCGGGGCGCACCTCTGGGCTCCGCCGGGCTGGTCCGGGATGCGGGAAGCGCGCTGCCTCGCCGCGTCTCCATCCCTCCCAGGCCCCTCTCGTCCTCTCCAGGTTCCGCGTCTCTCTCTCTCTCTTCCTCCCTCTCTCTCCCTCTCCCTCTCTCCTGCAAGTCCATAATCACAGCCATTTTCTGTACTCGGTGCCTTCGTGTGCGCGCTCGCGGACTTTTCAGGAGGATGACCCGCACAAGTGGACTTTATAGTTTCAATATAGGGTTTTGCCTGCCCACTCGCAAACACCCGCCCTTTTTCAAAAGCACCATTTAAGCTCACTTGGTAAATTCTGTAAGGAGGACAGCTGCGCGCACGTTCTGCTGCGAGGGGGACGCAGGTCGGCCTTCACGGGGGGTGGCGAATGTCTCCATGAGCTTCCCCGCGAGCCCTCTCGCGCCCCGAGCGCACAAGACCGCTTCCCTGCCCGTGTTGTCTTCGTAGGTCCCCCTGGCCCGCTCGGAGGCTTTCCTGGCCGACCTGTTGGATGGCGTGTGCGAGCGGATGAACGAGTACAAGCTGGAAGAAGACCCCGTGACCAAGGAGAAGGCGTTTAAGAGATTTGCCCCAAGGAAAGGAGACAAAATATACAAAGAATTTAAAAAATTCTATTTCTATTCTGATGCTTACAGACCTTTGAAATTCGCGGTAGGTCTCTTCCCGGGCAGGTGAACCCTGGGCGCCACGAACACTCTCTGGTTTCTCTTTTTCGCTATTTGCTTGGGTTGGTGAGTTTGGAGACACTGAGCATTCGAATGTTATGTTTGCTTTGTGGTCCTGCCTTTTCAGTGTTGACCGGGCATTGAGGAATGTGAGACACCTAACGGGGGCTCTGGAGACAGGAGACATTTTCCAGAAAGTGCTGTGGCAGCTCCCAGGGACTTTGAGACACAGTCTGTGTGTTTCTGTGCCGTGGGGCTCGGGGAGGGATCTCTTCCAGGTTCCCACAGAAAGAATCAGGGGTCGTGGCTCCTAGGTTAAAATCCAAATTAAAATGAGTGTCGCTTTCAAATATTTACAGCCAAATGGTAGAGGAAGAGTGACATACATCATTTGTTCTCCACCCACCCACACACACACACCCACTTTCAGGCTTCACAGAAGAGAGAGAATTTCTTTCCTGAGTTAATTCAAGTATTTTAGCACAAACTAAGTTAAACAAAGGCTTAGGTATGATAGCTGGCTTAATGCCAAACTTCCGTCCAGTACAGTGTTTATTTTAGATGAAGGCTGGCCTCTGGGTTGCTAGAATGTGCCAGGCAAAATATATTCCAATATATTTCACTTTACTTAATGCTGTTGAATCAGACAAACTGATGGGAAAGCCTGTTTAAAAAATGTATTAAGTTCACACATTGGCCAAAATGTCAGGCATGCTGAAACCCTGAAATAAGGGCTTTAGCTGACTTTTGAAGATTTCATTTTAATTAAAAAGTAGAGGCAATAATTCCAGGTTAAAAGTACTGTGGAAGAGAAATTGCAATGGGTGAGTGTGCTTGCATTTCACAGGTTTTAAATCAACACATTGTAGTGGAATTTAAATATTTTTAAAGGCCATTGAAAAATTTTAAAGTCTTGCTTAATGAACTTGGAAAATGATTTGCAAGTCTCGAGTGAATGCCCTTCTGCAGCTTCCTAATTCCTGAAACTTTAGCCCTGTGGGTCTCTAACACAGACACACACTTCACTTAGAATTGAAGATTTTTTTTTTTTAATGTCTGGGCAAATTTGGGCCCCCTCTTCTCTGAAAAGTTAGATTTGGAGGTAGAAGCAGAGTGAAATTATGAATGGATCTCTAAATGGTAGGAAAAGAAACTTCCCCGAGTAACTGTCAAGCATGTCACCCACAGTGGGATTGAGGCCGGGTTTGTTTTGATCGCTTTCAGCGACTGTTTCCACACTTCAGACTCTGTTTTAAAACCACAACGTGGATTGTTCTGTTAAATCTGAGGGAACCGGGTTTAACCATTTCCAAGGAGCTGTGTTCTTTAAAGGGTTCTAAAACAAACAAAAACAAAGCTAAGACTTTTCGGCCCCACCTAGGAGACCCATTTCTTCCTAGTCCTCCCATTCCAGTTTAAGGGAGAGGAACAGATACAAAGAACTAGTTTCCTCCCTTACCCTCGTCTTTCAACACCACTAATCAGTCGGTTAAGTCCCAGGAAAATGATGCTATTAACATTCTGGGGAGAGGGGGTCGAGCCAATGCCGTGATGTCTTAAACCAAAGGGGCTAATAACAACGGGCCACCTTGGCAACCCGATTTTCTATTTTCAGCTAAGAAAATGTTGGTAAGTGCTTCTAACGAGACGCCCCGTGCGTGTCTCTCCACCTGTGCTGTGATTCCGTTTCCGCAGTGCGAGGCCATACTAGAGGAGCACGAAGACGAGATACTCTCCCTTATCGCCCAGGAGGCACATCACCTCGCTGACAAGCTGTGCAGTGGAAAGGCAGGTACTGTGTCTGATGTAACATGTGTCCTCGCGCGCCCACCCCCTCCCCCTGCGCCGCACCATGTTTTTTCAAACGGCGCTTTGCTTTCTCTCTGCCACCGAGGGCTCGCCCCTGAATCAGAAGGACACCGAGTGTGAGAGAACAAACCAACAAAACCCCAGGGCTCCGGGGGCTCCGGCCCCCTCCTTGACACTTCTCGCCTCTGCTTTGTCAGCAAAGTCTAAGGGGCTCAGGCTAGACTCTCAGATGTTAAGGACCACGTGTTCATCAGAATTGCACGGATCCAAAGCACTTTCTCTTTCCAAACTCGGAGAAAGCTGGGCTTCTCCATCCTGCATCAGGAAGGAGAATCTCTTTAGGACTTGCCTACAGACAGAAGGTGGGATCTTTATTTAGTGCGAGATTTTGAAAAGGTTTTTGTTTGTTTGTTTGTTTGTTTGTTGATCGGTGAGGGTAGCTGGATATTTGTTTTTCAAGTTAATTTCCCAGAAATCCACTTGTTCTTAAAATATTTTTCTTTCTGGCAGAGGGTAGAAAAGAATACTTGAGTTATAGTCACACACACACACACACACACACACACACACACACACACTCAGAAGCTAGATAAATTAACAGAACTTGATTCATACGAAGTTGAAACTATGTTACTACCTTTGGCCTTTCCACCTGTTTGGTGGCCTGTGAACCTTCTAGGGGAGTATCACTATGATGCTTATTTAAAACACTTACCAGAATGTAGCCAAGTTGGGCAGCCTTTTCAGAGATCTTGGAGAAAATGAACCATGCATATAAAGACAGTGATTTAAAGTCCTGGAAGTACTTTTATGCCATTGCAGAATCTTGAGATATTTAGCAATTGCTTATAATAGAGTATAATGCACCTGCATCCGCAGTATCGAATTTAGTGCCAAAATCCTTAAAGTAATGTTTACTGCACATTTGTAGGTAAATATTCATGTCATCAAAAGTTATTAAAGAAGAAAGTTATAAATCCACATTAACAGGGAAAAGTTTTCTTACTCTGAGTAGATAATAGGGTTGTTTTCTGCTTAAAATCCAGTTTGAAAAATAATAATAAGATCCAGTTTGGTTGGGAGTTTGAAGAAGAGTACACGGCATGACACAGTTAGGGTTGTCCGGGACTAGGGTTGTCCGGGTGGGGGAGAGCTGGCTGGTGGAGTTCAGTTACGTAATGTTGCAATGTTGTGAAATTCACATCAATAAGGGCATAGCCGTGATTTCCCAAAGATAGTATTTTCAAAGTTTTTCAAACAGTTTGGAGATGTACATATGCTTGAATATACAAGCAAAAATGCAATGACCAAGCCAGAAAATGTCTGTTTTCCTGGTTTTTTCCTCACAAAGGGTTCGGACTCATCATAACCGTCTGTGGCAAATGCAACAAATTTGCCCTGTAAACACCTGTTCAGACCTTACAGGCGGGCCTGAGAAAGTTCCTCCAAGTCTTCACAGCAGCCCTTGACCCACAAAATCAGATCCTGGGGAAAGGCTCTGTTCCTAAATGCAGCAGTTTGACTTGAGTTCAGTAACGTCTTTTCACTCCTTTTGCGTATTTATAATTAGAAAAATAAACGTGAACCCCGAGAAAACATGAGCATAAGGGGAAACTAAGATACACGCACGGCTGCTGATGTAACATAAAACATTAGATAACTAATTCTCAATAGGTTTGATTGTTTGAAAACTGGTGAAGTCCTTACACTCTAAACAGAAACATGAGGGCCGCGGGACTCCCGAGAAGGCCAGTGAGCCACCCCAGAGGTGACCGTCTCTGACTGCACCGCAGTGCTGTGGTCTCCCGCCTGGGTTTCTCTGTGAAACCCATTTATGGATATTACGGATATCAGTTAAAAACTGCGGGTAGGTTAATCCTGAAAAGAGGCTAGACTCGCCCCCCCACACCCCCGAGTCCGCTACTGTCGAAGTAAGTTAACAACCCATAGCAAGATGCACGTTTTTCAAACTTAAAAATTATTGCCAGAAAAGGCTAAAGCAATACCTCAGTAAGAAAAATGGCATGTGATCACCCCGACAACAAAGAAGCGGTGTGTTTTGACGTATTGGGACGGTTTCAGACGCCCGTGTAGAAGGTGAGACGCTCCCGTGGTAGAAGAACTGGGGTGCTCTCCCACGGAACGTTTGTACGGGGTAGCAGGTGTCCTGTGTGAGTTCGGCGTCTGTGCTCTGCTTCTCGAGGTAACACTTTACCTTGTTCTGTTGTCCCGCAACTTTACTGTGATGGATCTCCGCGTTTTAAAGATGTTTGGAAGACATGGCCGTGTGTGTGTGTGTGTGTGTGTGTGTGTGTGTGTACTAGAGGCTCTGAACGTGCCTTAACCAGTAACATGCTACCCAGAGTCTGCGGTGTCCAAGACACTCCACTGAGGTCTGCGAAAATGTCTACAGACTGTTTTTAAGGAGATAACTTCTCTTAAACAGATGCTTCTAGAACTAGAGGTTTAATTGGAAAGTTGGTCCCTTTTTCTACTTTATGCATGTGTGTGTGTGCGTGTGCACGTGCGTTTCTTATATGCGTCTATATATGAATTTTGCTTTTTTCTCTTTCACGTGGGTCATTTCACTTTAATTTTTCAATAATTACGTAGTCGCAGATGAGGGCACACTCACAGACTTTAAACCTCAGCTTTCGTGAGGTATAATTGACATGAAATTGTAAGGTGTTGGAAGAGTGCATTGTGGTGATTTGGTGTGTGCGTGTCTCATGAGAGATCCCTGCCGTCCACTTACTCAACACTGGACTCCTTAAGTTGAGTATCAGGACTGACGGTGCACCCCCATCCACAAACAGACAAACGGGGGAGGATGGAGAAAACATCTGTTACATTCAAGATGACCGTTTGGATTTTAAAATAACGCATCAGTGGGATTTTCACAAACATTATGTTCCACCTTTTGAATCAGTAAAGAAAACCTCAGTGAAAGATGATGTGACTGTGGATGGGGCTGTGGATACCCCCGCCGCTTTAATCACTGCATAAAACAAAAGTTCACCAAATACATCCCGTTCTTGGGGTGTAAGACAGAATAAGAGGGCTACCCCATCGTAATCTTGGGGGTTTTTTCCCCCTAGACAAAAACTTAAAAAAGAAGAAGAAGAAAAGAGAGCTCATTAGGTTTTCCTGATGGAATATTTTGTGGCCCGTGACCCAGGCTTTGCCAGATTGTCATTTTAACGTCCTGAAGTCGAGATGACGTTTTAAAATCTTAATAAGATAATCGGGTCATGATAAAAAGTGTAGCTATATTCCACCGATGGTAGAGAACATAACACTCTAGATCATGGGTGAGTGGGTAGTCTGCGGTTTGTGGGGTCGTCATTAGCTAGAGTGTGAGGGTGTCGATGCAAAGACAGAAATGTCTTCTGGACACACGTCACTTCTGCTTTCATAGTAAATCTTAACATTTAAACTGTTAGACTGACGAATCTGTCACATGATCATTTGAAGGCAACACAGGAAATAAGGCACCAAGTATCTTGAAATGTTTAGCCTGCATTTAAAGGAAAAGCATTTTTACCTTTCTGTGCAGCCTTCCCAGTGATAGTATTGAATGATAATATGCCAAACGATTACTTTCAAAGGCCGGTATATTCCTGTTTTAAATAAACGATGTAGTTAAAATAATCCGTAGTCTTTTTAAAGAGAATTGGCATGAATTGCTTCCGAGTTGGAAAAGGAGTGTGTGATAGAGCATCTCCTTGCCTCTCTGCTCCTTGGGATAAACGCCAGGCGTGCTGTGCCCCAATTTAAGCATTCCTTAAATACTCCCAAGGCCATGGGCAAAGTGGTATGATCCCTGGGCTTGGGTTTTTAAATATTCCAGGAAAAAAAGGCTGGAAGATGGGACTAGAGTAGCACAGCTTTGACAGGTGTCGAAGCCAGGTTTGGGGTCCGAGGGAGTAGACTATACCCTTTTTTCTGCTTGTGTGTGTATTTGAAAATTTCCACGATAAAAAAAGGTTTTAAAATATGCTTCCGTAAAAATGTGGGGTTTTGCAGAAAGTTAGTGACTCACGCGCTGTGATTAAATGTGAGAGTGATGTTGTGTAACTTTTTCTCCCCCCAGATCTCTGCAAAACCGCTGCTAAGCAGACCGAACTCTAGGGTGCCAGGCCCATCAGGTGATGAGGAGGAGAGCCGCGCGCACAGGTCAACATCTACGTTCATATCTTTATGTTTCTTCGTGGAAAGAAAGTCTGCATCTCTCATTTATACCGTGTCGTCTCATGTATGACATTTTTTGGGAAAATCTGTTGTTTGACATCACAAGAAACCTGGTTCTTCCTGGTTCTTTCTATAGGGGAGGTGGAGGAGGGCATAAAACAAATTACCTTTCTGGATTTTGGTACAGAGTTGGGGGTAAAGCATTTAATTTGATAATAGGAAAAAAGCGAAGCCATGTCATAATGAAATAAGGATCTGATAATGCATTTGTTTATTTGGTGCACGTCTACAAGGATCCTGTTCTCTTTGATAAGAACTTGATTTGATTTCTTAAGTACTTGATCGGTCAGGAAATTAAGAAAATATATTGCTACAAATTCCATATTATGTCTTCTTGGATCTATATGGTGATCAGTAAAAGAAACAAGGCTATTTTATATCAGGAATGAAAATCAAATTTCCAGCTTTAAACCCTAAGTTTAAAAACTTTTTAATCTCTAAAATGTAATTGAATGTGTAAAAAATAATGGATATTTTTACAGCGAGCAGGACAGTGGTCTTTCTCACGCATACCTTCTGAATTCGGATGATTCAGAAAGTCGATTCATGACCGCACTGTGCGCTCTTCAAAGATGATGCCAATGACCATGTTTCGTTTCGCTGCAAACTCTATCGCGCGCGCGTTCTAAAAGACTTTCGGCTAACAGTCAGCATGTGTATCTTCCTACTAACTAACCTGTTATTCTCCCGACTTGGGTGTTTTGGTAGGTGTGGAGGTGGAGGGGAGGGGAGGGGAGACCTTACGAGAAATCACCCATCGATCACACTTTATGCAGAACCTAGTAAACATATTGCTCTTGGGTATTTCACTGTCTCTCTTAAATTTACATTCAATGGAATCTGACTTTAATTATTTAAAATGTCAGGATGTGTTCCACACACTTCTTTTTAAAAAAAGAAATGCTCGCTGTTGGCACTGAGAATTTTCCAGATAGGCTGAGATAAATTCTGCCCTCAAAGAGCAAAAACCCACTTGGCATGTGGTCCATCATTGCCTGGAAATCTCAGCTGAGGCTTTGGCAAGGGGAGAGTTCTGAAACTTAGGAACATTTACCAAAATTAAGGGTAAGCAGTTTCCACTTTTTTCCTTCTTTCCCCCCACTTCTTACTGGAAGTCAGAATTTTAAATTCATGTCACTTGTTTTTTTGGGGAAACGGAAAGGCATGTGATGTTTGGACACATCTGTGGCTGGTTAACAAGGACAGACCCTACGTATTGGAGCCCAGGGAACCTGCACTGATAGAAAATGGAAATGGGCTTGCAGAATAATTAGCTCCATCTTTCAGTCAGGTAGCAAAGTTGTGATTTACAACACGGTCCCTACATCTTTATGTAAACCTGTCTATTTAAGATTAATTCAGCATTTCAGATAGCTCCGAGTCACGAACACCTCCCAGACTTGGGCTTCCTTGGTACGTGCACTGCCCACGAGCTGATTCCTTCATGAGAGCATGACCGAGGCCGTGGCGGGCAGGTGCGCCCAGAGCTGGCACATCCGTGACTATGCAAATGTGATCTCAGGCTTCCCAGACTCTCACTGGTCACAAAGTCTCAGATACAGACTCAGCTAACAATCTAAGTGAACCTGAGGGCTCCGTCTTCCTTCCCCCGTGGAAGTTCTCACGGGTGGTGAAGCGCTTGGTTTGACCGGAGAGAACCACGCATCTTGCCTCTAATAGCAATCCTTGAAGGTCTCGCCAAATATGGCTTTTCAGTTGTTTCTTATATCCCAGGAAAACTAGTCTTGTGTCTTCAAAGATTTTTGGTAGCTCCTGACTTACCTACTTGTTCTTTCCAGAAATTTTTTCCCAGCTCAAACTTGTTAAGCTCATGTAAATATTGTGGCTTGCTAAGTTACTGATTAAATATACGTTTGCGGGATAGACACAATCACCGTTTCTTATGGCTACAAACATGCGGGAGTTTTCCTGTAGGGCACAGTCAGGCTGTGCTGCTTTCACTAATGAGCGATAATGAGACAGAGTAGTTGCTCGCTTTAGCGTCCCTGTGAGCCGCAGTCCTGCCTTCTTAATGACGCTTGTTGACCCAAACCAAAACAAACCAAAAAGCCTGGGAAAAAAAAAAAAAAAAAGCAACACCCAAACACCCAAAGTGTGGCACAAAAGTTTCTCAGAATCAATGAAAAGCAACCTAATTCTGGGTCAGAAAATTTCCTGGAGGCAAAGAAGTGGGGGGTGTGATGCTCATTAAAATAATGGGGAGAGCAGGCACATTCGGGCAGTGGTTTCAAGTCGTGCTTTTATGAGACAGGTTCTTTGGGTCTCCCTGGAAGGCTCTGGGAACCTGTTCTCATAAAGAGAAACCAAACTGGCTGCAATGCACTGTTTATATTCTGTTACGTGGATCACTACTTGCTAAGAATAAGCCAAGAGCAGTGAATCCATTTCACCGAGGAGTGGAAAGTGGAATTGAGCCAAAGTCCCAAATGGGAGAAATCAATACGTGATTTACTAAGACAAGCCCTAAAAAACCAGAGTCAATAGCTGGTTATATTTGTTCTGCCTACTTCTCGGCTTGGGTTGGTACATATTCATGTATGTAATGGCTTCATGTAAATAAAAAAATTTAAAACTATCGCTCTTAAAATTCAGGTTATAATGGAATCAGAGGAGAAGCCATTCTTTGATGAGATGCTGTGGCCTGTTTTAAGATTTGACACAAATTTCGGAGCTAATCTTAAATCTCGAAGCCCACCCAATAGCACATTACGTAGTTTTATACCAGAACGTAATTAGCAATGAGAGTAAATTGTCACAACACCTGTTAGACACAAGTGTACATTTTGTTATGATTTTCTGCCTGTAACTTACTGCCCCTTCATACATTTCCTGAAGTTCTCAGATTAGGTGCCTAGATTTATAGCAAGGAACTGGACAGATAAAAGACCAAAGGAGATAAATGAAATTGAAGTATGGAATCATAGACATTCACTGCCCTTGCGTTACCTAGGATAAGACGCAGCAGACGACAATGTCCTCTCCCTTAGTACCCGATGTCCCTGGCCCTGAACGTGTATTTGCTGAGGGGGAACAGCCCACTGGTTTTGTCCATTTCCAGGACCTGCCCTTCATGGAGATGGTGATTAAATTTAATGTACAGTGAGCTCATTTGTCTGTAGGGACATTCATTACCTGAGAAATCGAGTTTGGCTTGTGAGGTGGGTCTGAACCATCAGGAGTAGAGTTCTCCACCTTTCTGGATGCTCGGAGGGCTCAGGAGACGGGTGGGAGGACGGAAACACAGATGCGTGCAAACCCACCCCCATGCATGGAAATGAGGTCTGGACCCCGGGAAGTCACGTGAAGCTGGGATCGCTCCAAGGTGCACATCTCAGAGGAAAACGTGTCTGGAAATTTCTGTAATTCCTTAAGGAAAAAAAAAAATCATTCCTGTGCTCCTTAATCTTGATTTTCAAGAAAGAAAAAAATATGCTAAATTGTAACAGATACAGAAAACAGTCTATGTCACAAGATAGTCACAAAACACATTCCATCTGTTAAGATGGCCCGTGAAACGACGAGCTTGGAGACTGTTGGAAACGCGTCGGAATCGTATTGTGATGTGGCTCGTTATTACGGAACACAGATTTGATCTGGCCAGCCGCGGGTCAAGACCGTAACCCCCAAAACATAAGGGCACAAAGTGGAAGGCCGAACAGTGAGGTGAGCAGTTACACAGGCGAGAGAACAGCCGTGTTCCCTCCAAGGCCAGCGTGGGCGACAGCCAGCTGCACACTTGGCTGAGCTGGGACACACCCCCGAGCCGCGCACGTCTGCCCTTGGAGCAGACAGAGGCTCCAGGAACTTCCTCCTCCGTTGGGGATGTTACCAAGCCAGTGTGGAAGGTATGCAGGTTACATAACGGAAGGTCGGATGCCCAGTGTCAGCTAATTAAGCACGGCTGAGACCCGGAAAGATCCTGTAAGTGATAAGTTAAAATATTAATACCGATTTCCAACTTGATGAATAGCGAGGCTGGCACCCGAAGAGTTAGAATGTACTACTGACATTCTATATTAAGGTTTTGGCCTCAAAGCCGCTTTCCGAACAAGTGGGAGTTCCTCTGCAGCACAGTCTCTGATACCAGCCGAGAAAGGGTGATGGTAATCCTTGAGGTAACACCACTGTCAACAGAGAGAGAGAAGATTTCAATCAGGTGACTTTCATTGTCTGATAGAAATGGTCTTTATGGCTTTGTTGTTCTTCATCAAAGGACGCTGATTAAGCATCTTCATGCCCTGTGGTTTGTAGAAGAAAGCAGAGAACCAAAAAATAGTCTATTTGGCCCCCATTAAAAATGGGCCCTGTTTAAAGCAACATTGTATTAAAGCAGAGCGAAGTCTGATACAAATGCAGGTTCAATGAGCGATATTAAATTATTAGACCTTAAGGTGAAAATACACCCTTGAAATGCCTTTATATGCAATCAGAGCTGCTGATGGAATTTTAATGCCCTAAGATTAAAAGGCCACTTGAGTGAGGGTTTTTTTGTTTTTTTGTTTTGTTTTTGAGGGTTGTTTGGTTTGGTTTGGTTTTTTAGTAGCACCCCCAGTGGGGAACAGGAGATGCTGTGAATTTGCTCCATTTTGTATCCATCATGGATCCTGGAGCCTCGGCCAGTTTCCAGAGTGAAAGCGTCCAGGCTCTGGCTCAGCCATGCGTGGCGGGGCAGTGGTGTGGCTGTTTTCCCACCACAAGCCACAGGAAGTCCCGTGGCCCCGTGTGAGGCCCAGTGGCCCCGTGTGAGGCCCAGTGGCCCCGTGTCCAGGCCCAGTGGCGCTGCGGGCTCCTGCAGGAGACAGAAGCCAGATCGGAGCCACACTGGCGTTAGAACAAACGGGGCCAACTCTCCACCCATC